TTCCCTAGTGTTGATCCTTGTCAAAGAGAGGTTGGTCTTTGTGAAAGAACTAATTCAAGGTTAAAGGTAGTTTTGGCATCTTTTGGTTGCATACACTGTTGGGTTTTTTTAAGGCTACAAACCTTTGCTGGTTTGACCACAGCATATTTTGATGTTCTTTAATTGTGTATGTGCTGTAATGCCCCAATACCATGGTCATATTGTAAACAACCTGCTGAAAATATCCCTCTTCCCCAAAAGAGCTAGTGCAGCCAAGGTGTTGATTCTCTGCTTTTCCAGTCCCCTGAACTGTGTGAGATGAATCATACTCGGATTTTTCTCTGAACATTTGCTGTGTTTTGAAGGTGAGTTCTGGAAAGGCCTGAAACTCTGGCTCCTGTCAGTGCCTTCCCAGTCCTTGCTGGTTTGAGCAAGGCCTCCTGCAGCCTCACCCCAGCCACCAGGTGATGAAGGAGCTGGTATGCCCTAGAGCTGTTCAGGCAGTGTTGTGGATGGCACAGGAGGTTCTGGGCATCTTCAGAAGGTGAGGTTACACTCTCTGCTCCCATGTGCCAGTCACTTGTGCCCCTCAGCAAAGCTAGGGGGTGTCTATGATAAAGCTTGAGGTCTCTGGGGCTGCAGGGCACTTTCTCCTCTGCTCTAGCTCAGTGCCCCATGGAGAGGGGAAGGTGGGCAGGATGGGGCTGCAGTGTTCTGTCTGGCAGCAAACAACCTGTTAGGATGGGAATGAGGATTGGAAAATCCATTACTTCCCTTCTGGGCAGTAAAGGTCTTCAGCAGTGAGTCCAGATTTTGATGAATTTACACTCCTTCTGCAACTCATGTTAAGCATTAAATGCAAAAAAAAGGTCTTTGCTGTCAGGCTGCAGTTGGAGGGAGTCTGTCTCTTTGAAACACACACAGTAAATGCTTCATAAATAACCTTTAAGAATTTATTTAGGGCAATGTGAAGCTGCTGATTTTTGCACATTGCTGTCATCTTGTAGTTAAAATGCAAACCCAGAAGACTGCCATCCAGTCCTGTGGATAAATAAAATTATCCTTCAATCTTTTCAAGAACTGTGCCCGTTTGAGGTGTAAAAGGGATGTGGGGGAGGAATCAGCCTCATCCAAACATTTAGCCAGATTTTGAGTGGTATTTTAAGGGTATGGGGGAAGCAAGGGAGAGAAACAGGCTTCAGCAATCTGAGTATGCAATCTGGAAAATCTTCACAAATCCCAGAAAAATGTTATCTGAATTTGATTTGAGGGTGGAAAAGGCAGCTGTGGCTCTGCACTGGTGAAGGGTTTTCTGCTTCTAGCAGGAGCAGGCAGTGCTGTTTCTCTTGGTGGGTGCAGTTTTTGGCATGGACTCTCCCCCACTCCTGAGGGTGTTCTGGAATAACTGAATCAGTAATTTAACAAAGGTTATTTTGTCATAGCAGAGAGATGCAGCAAATCTCCATCCTGCTCTCATGAGAGAAGAACCTAAGTGTAATTTTTTCTCCCCCCCCACTCTCTCATAACTTCTTATAAGACAGAGAGAACAAGCTACCACATCACGGGGGGTGGGGGGGGGGGAATAAAAGGGGGAAATCAGCACTTTTGCACTGACAAGATCAATTTTACATTCCCTCTTTGGGAACATGAGGCACTGGAGGAGGGAAGTGTCTGCTGGGAGCCAGGAACAGCCATGTGGTTTGGGTAGTGATTGAAACTCCAGACACCTGAGCTTGTAGGTGGCTCCAGCACAGGTTTCATGGGTGGTCCTGAACAGGTCTTGCTTCTCTGGGGTCTCTGCTCAGTATTCTTTGTTGAAGGCACAAAATAAAGAAGGTGATACCAAGGGACATTCCCTTTTTGAACAAACATTGTCTTCATGCATGTTTTTCTTGTGTCTTAGTAGCACTGAGGCTGTAGAATGCAAAAAATATGACAAGTATTCTGGGGTTTATATACATGGCCTGCATAGCTTTCCCATGGGAAGAGCCCTATATGTGTGTAGCTAAGTTTGGGAGTTCCTTCTTGGTATAGAATTGTATTTATAATGACATTTTTAGTTACAGAATCTGGTGCAGATGTTTTATAGTGCTTTCCTGATGAGACAGACACACTCCTAGAAGTTTCAAAATCAATCAGTGGGATATGAACAGCAAATTCATCTTGCTGTAGGTTTTCATCAGAGGAATGTTGGTTCTCACCTGCACCAAAAAAAGGGTGTGTTGCAAAGATACCTTGTTAATGCCTCTGCAGAGATCTGAGAAATGAGAGTTTCTACTAAAAAAGACTGCTACTGTTAGTGTACTATACAGCTGGTGTCCTTAGGCTGGTCTCCCTTGCCTGTGGTAGTTCTGGCCTGATTCTTTGTGGTCTCTCCTACCATCAAGTGTGGAAAGGCAGAGTTCCTTCAGCAAGCCCCCTTTAATTTTGGTGGGACATCCCTGGAGGCTTTGAGCTGTTAGCTGCCTGTTTCTAGTGGATGGCTGCTGATAGTGTGCTGTGAACATGACAGCACACATCTCCTGAGCCAGGAGGCGTGCTTCTTGTGTTAAATAGGATGCTGTCTCTTTTGAGGATCTTCTGGGAGCATTCCTGTGTTGAAGTGCTGAGTTTGAGTTCGTCTCTTAAAAACTCCTCCATGAGAAGAGTCAATTTGTCAGTGCACGAGCTGCCAGTTTCCTGAGTCCTCTGCCACCTCTTGATGTTTGTCTCTGGTCCCAGTGCCTGGCTTGTTTGCCTGCCTCCTGATCAATCTCAGCTTGTTTAATGGTAAATCAATTTTTCTCTTGATGTTGCAGATGGGGGTAGCTATGATGTTATTAATGATGCATCCAGCCCTGCTGCGGGGGACTGCTGCGCACAGCCAAGCTCTGCCCGGCACAACTGGGAAATGAACTACCAAGAGGCAGCAATCTACCTCCAGGTGAGCCCTGCTGTTGTCTGGGTTGGGTGAAAAATGGGCTTCTGGAAATCTGGTAGTTCTTGGTTGTAAGAAACAGCTTCAGTTTTGAGGTTAAAAAAAATCAGAGCTTTGCAAACGAGTCCGCGCGAAGAGTGGGGAGATGGTGGATGTTCCTTCAGGTGGGCAAGTCACTTGGGAGCAACTGGACTTGCTACCCTTCCTCTCCCATCTCTCCCAGACTGTAGTAGATGAGGGATTTGTCACATGTTCAGTTCTGCCACTTTACCATGGAGATTTCCATAGCTTGTCATAGATCATCATTTCATCTCTTTGGTTGCTCTGATTTAGATCATCATTTCATCTCTTTGGTTGCTCTGGGGTGAATGGTCAGTGCTCACCTGGAGACATCTCATGTTCTGCAGCTGCAGGTCCTAATCCTTGGCCACAGATTTGGTGAGTGGCCTGGGGATGCTGATTTAGCAATAGTCAAGCCCTGCAGGGTCATGTAAGACACAAGAAAAGACAGAGATCTTGATTTCTACAAGAAAGCATGCTGAGATTAGGCCAAGAGTGAAATTTATCCTATTTAAAAAGCAAAAAAACCCCAAACATACCCCTCCCAAGCTTCAGTTACAAGAAGCACCATTGTTACCTCAACAAAGGCATAATATTTTTAAGGTCACCACACAGTTTGGTGTGATGAATTAGGTACCAAAACAGAGTTCCTCCCAGAGCTGGCCAGTCTGAAGTGGTTGCTGGTTCCCTCACTGCCCTTCCTTCCTCCTCCTCCTTGTTCCCTTCCAGGCTTTGTATTGTAGCTGGAGATGCTTTGAACCCAGTTAGGTTTTTTTGCTCAAGTCACTGCAAGGTGATGGAAACCATTTGTTCCTCCCTGCTCCCACCCCACAGGACTGAGAAATTTAAAACCCAGGTATGCTTGGACCTTGGTAATACTTCAGCTTGGTGGTGTGTTAGAGCAGCTACTGACAATACAGTGGTAGCTCCAGCCCTTCCTGGGCCTTTGTTTAACCTGATGATTATTGGAAATGCTCTGCAAAGGGTCATTGAGCTGCTGCATAGTCTGCTGGTGATGCACACAGCAGGCTCAGCCCTTCAGATGCAGATTATTCTTGCTGCTGCCTTGACCAGTGCCTATAATGACAGTGTCCTTGAAACGAGGTAGACACAACTTCGAAGCACACGCAGGTTGTTTATTTGAGCTGCAGACAAGGGTGTCTTATCTGAAGAAGAGGACTTTGCTGTCCAGCAAGGTTTGGAATTGCTTGGCTACCAAGAGGCAGAATTCAGGCCATCTTTCATTCTGCAAGTGTGTTTTGTCAGGCGTGAATAAGAATGCCCTGCTGATCTAAGCTAGTGCTCTCTTGCAGGAGGGGGGAAAAACTGTGCTTTATGGAGCTGGCTGCTGGGTTTTGTCCTGCTCACAATCTGGCTCACTGACCCAGCAGTTTGTCTGTGTGTTTGTTCTTAAACAGAATGTGAGCTTGCCTGGGAGATGAGTAAATGAGAAACATTTGAAACGCTCTTCTGAATTAGTCTCGAGAATGCTTCACTTCCTAAAGGAGATCCTGTTTCCTGACCTTGTTACCCATTTGCAATCAGAGTTATTCTGCTTGGAGAGTAATACTCACTGTCCTTACAGTAATTGCTTGGAAAGACGTTGATTTAAAAAAGACAAACCACAAACAGCTTCTTGTGCATCTTAGTGTCCCAGCTAAGGAAAATGATCTCGTATGTCAGTTTCCAAGAGGCAGCAAGTTACCAGTGAACAACTAAGGATCCCTTGCTTAAACCATTGACTCAAAAAAAGAGAAGAAGCTGTTGGGTGGTTCTGCACCAAAAAAAATCCTTCTTAATTCTCCCCAAATTAAGTTTTGTCCTAAAGGTAAAAATAGTAATGAGGTGGCTCTTTAAAAATCAGTTACAGGCAAACTGTGAAGATGGAGTATCTGACCTTTTAATGTTAATTAAGCTTTCTAGTTAAGAGGGAATAACAAATCAGCATAGAGACTTGTTAATTTTTCATGGATTCTTGTCTTCTCCCATTCCTGAAGCAGAAAACACTGTGTGTGCTTCAGTGTTTTCTCCCAGACATTTTGCAAGGCCAAGATAAGGAGGAGCAGCTGTCAGCCAGGTGCCCTGGAGCTTATCTGTGTGCTTTCTTGTTCTGTCCTGCAGAAGTTTAATCAGAGAAGTCTGTAAACATGTGGAAGTGGTTGCAAAGAAATGAAGTGCTGTGCTTATGTTGGGATGTTGACTGAAGTTTCTTTGCCTGCTTTTGTAAACTCTTCCTCACTTTGAAAAGGCTCAAGGGATTCAGAAGTAGGAGTTTGTGGGTATTAATGAGTTTCATTACTGAAATATGCTTATAAGCAGAACTCTACCCTGTGTGTAGAGTTCACTCCTCAAGAAACAGATCAATGTCAGGCCATAAAGTGGGAACAGTCTGTTGGGAATTGTATTTAACCCTTATAAAAGTCTGTGTTCTTCATGTGCTCCATTACAGTGCCCAGAGACACTAATACTGTTCTTTATCCCTGCTGCCTCAGGAAGGAGAAAATAATGATAAGTTCTTCACTCACCCCAAAAATGCCAAAGCACTTGCTGCCTACCTCTTTGTTCACAATCACCTTTTCTACCTGATGGAGCTGAGCACAGCTCTGCTGCTGCTGTTGCTGTCCCTCTGCGAGGCACCAGCCGTCCCTATGCTCCGCCTGGGCATCTTTGTAAGTACTTTGGGGTAAAATGAAGAACTCTGCCTCTTCTGCATGGGTGGGTTAGGGGAAAAAGAAGGCTAAACATAGAGGAAGAAGGTGGCAATAGTAGGAAAAAGCCACCTGGCTTGTTCTGTAAATGGGTTCGCAGCAGATATGTCAACCAGTGGAACATCCTTTTTTCATCCGATGTGCACAGACCACAATGAAAGGGACACTTCATATTATTGTGCAAGACCCTGTCTGTGGTTGTCCAGAACATCTCTTTCAAGGGAAAACCCTTCTCTGGGTAATTTATCTCTGCCCAGCAGCTTTTCTTCCTGCACTTCACTAAAACAAATGGGAGTCTCCAACTTTTTTTAAACTCTTTTTTGCTCGAGTCACTGCTGTCTTGCCCTTTTTGTTTCAAATGTATCAATACATTTTTTGATGTGTTATTCAAGTCCAAAAGGGATATGAATTCCCAGGAGATTTTGGACTGATAGTGAATAGGGGAAAGTTCTACAGGCTTTAATAAAAGCATGAAGTAATAAATATAGAAACTTTGGAAAACGGAGTACTGTGCTAGCTTTATGAGTGCCCTTGGGGTTGTTTTTTTTCATGTCAGAGAGCTGTGCTCAGGTTGTTGTCAAACCCATGTGCTACTTGGAAGAGGAAAGGCAGAAATGTGGGCTCTGCTGTGCTGCTGTTTGCAATCAGCAGCACTGATTTGGACTTTGCTGTGTTGTAACAGGTCCATGCAACCCTGGAGCTCTTTGCATTAATTGTGGTAGTCTTTGAACTCTCCATGAAGATGAGGTGGCTGGGCTTCCAAACCTTTATCAGGCACAAAAGGACTATGGTGAAGGTAAGTTGTCTGCCTGTGTTTCTCCTTCAGAAACCAAAGAATGAGATAATAATCCCTGCACTGTAGCAGGGATGACTTCATCATGAGTCCCAGCTGCCAAGAGAGATCTCTCAGCTCTCAGAAACACCTCCCATCCTTCAAGTGTTGAAATAAATGGGTGGCCAGTGAGAGCTTTGCCTTTCCCAAGAAGAAACTGCAGCTGTGCCTGTCACTAGACCCCCCTTTTTTTTTTTTCCTCTTTTTTGCAGACTTGTGTGCTGTTTGTGCAGTTCATAGAGGCCATCGTGGTGCTGGTGCGCCAGACCTCGCACGTCCGGATCACCAGAGCTCTGCGCTGCATCTTCCTGGTGGACTGTCGGTACTGTGGGGCTGTCAGGAGGTGAGGCAGCCTCCTGGGGCTGTTGCTGTCACACCTGGGGCTGCTGCTGTCACACCTGGGGCTGGGCTGCAGGAACAGCACTCTGATTCTGACCTTCATGGGCATCTCGGGTCTTCCGTACTTGTGACTGAAGCGTGAGGCTCGTGTTGGCCTCGGAAGGGAAGTGTCATAGAATCGTGGAATGGTTTGGGTTGGAAGGGACCTTAAAGGTCATCTAGATCCAACCTGCCCTTCAACACTGCCAGGGATGGGGCAGCCACAGCTTCCCTGGGCAACCTGGGCCAGGCTCTCATCACTCTCATAGTGAAGAATTTCCTCCTCATGTCCAACCTCAATCTCCCCTCTTCCAGTTTTAATCCATCCCCCCTTGTCCTTTCCCTCCCTGCCCTTGTCCCAAGCCCCTCCCCAGCTTTCCTGAAGCCCCTTTAGGCACTGGAAGGTGCTCTAAGGTCTCCCTGGAGCCTTCTCTCCTGCAAGCTGAGCACCCCAACTCTCCCAGCCTGTCTCCAGAGCAGAGCTGCTGCAGCCCAAGGATCATTTTTGTGGCCTCCTCTGGACTCTCTCCAGGAGCTCCATGTCCTTCTTATGTTGGGAGCTCCAGAACTGGACACAGTAATCCATGTAGGGGGCCTCAGGAGAGCCAAGTAAAGGGGCAGAATCTCCTCCCTTGACCTGCTGGCCATGCTGCTTTTGATGCAGCCCAGGACATGGGTGGTTTCTGGGCTCTAGCACATGGTGCCAGCTCATGTTGAGCTTCTCATCCACCATCACCCCCAAGACCTTCTCCTCGGACTCTTTTTGATCCATTCTCCACCCAACCTGTTCCCTTTCTCAGGTAGTATCTTTGAGGTGCTTGTGTACTGCCCTGTATATACTACCCCAGAGAGCACAACACCTGGACATGGCTGTGTTGTTTCTAGGTTTGCCTGTCAACTGCACAAGGAGCCCCAGAACTGGTCTTCAGACTGGTCTTCAGGCTGGAGAAGGAAAGTTGACAGGGTGACATTAGTATTGTTTGCAGTACCTGAGAGCTGACTGCAAAGGACAGATGGGTAGTTTGGAAGCAATTTAACTAGCTTTCTACTTTTAATCCTTGGAGGGAGTGGGAAGAAAGTCCTCAACTATGGTGTGGTGTTGGTTTTTTTTCCCTGCCAACCTGGAGGAGAAAACATGCAGGTTTTAGTTCATTCATGTTTTCTTCTTTTCCAGAAATCTGCGACAGATCTTCCAGTCCCTCCCACCATTTATTGACATTCTTCTCCTCCTGCTTTTCTTCATGGTGATTTTTGCCATCCTAGGTGAGTTGTATTTATGGAAGGTGAAGTGATGCTCTTAACCAGTTACTGTCCAAAAGCAACACAACCAACAAGGGTGAATATAAAGCTGATCAGATTCCAAGTCCTGCCAGGATCTTCCATTTCTCCCATTTCATCTGGAAGGCAGAGTCAAAGCTCCAAAAGAAAATCCAGAAGCTGAGTATCTGATTTTGAAACAGAAGTCATTCGTACCCCTTCCAGATGATAGATGTTTGTGGCTTCCAAGTTCTGTTTCCATCAGCTTTTCCTCAATCTTGTCAGTTCAGCTTACATTCCCACAAAGGCTTGTGTCTGCAGTGCAACTGCTACAGTCCTGTACTCAAGCCATCCCCTGGAAGTTGGTTTTCCAGAAGGATCAGTGCAATGTCAATGACCTGCATTGGCAAATCTGTCTGGAGATGGCCTTCCAGATACTCACCTCTTCCCAGTGTCAGGGGGGGCTTATTCTTAGTGTCACCTTCTCTTTGGGCACAGGGACTCACTGCTCTGCTGTTTGACATGAAACAGACTTGAATTTTGTTTGTTCTTACCCCTTTCTTTTCCTCTGCCTCCTCTGTTACTTCTCTAGGTTTCTACTTGTTTTCTCCTAACCCCTCGGATCCGGTGAGTATCACTGCTTCCTTCAGCTGAATCTTCAGCCCCATTTTGACATGCTTAAGAACCAAACATCTCTGTGTAGATGTAGCTTATTCCTGGGAGGCCAGATGCTGGCTGGTCAGGGACTGCTTGCCACTGTCACCCTGCTTTACTCCCTGCTGGGAAGGAATACAGTGCAGAGAACTTCCACAGAGACAGGATGTCCCAAAGGGAACATTCAGAGAGAGCTGGTTCTTGTTCTTGATGTCTTACTTCAGTCACACAGGCCACCTGCCTCTGTGAAAGCTCAGCCACTTCAGGCTCTGGCTCTCAGAGTCCAGCAGCCACTAGTTCCTGCTGCTGCCCACTCTGCAGCTTGCTGGATATTAACAACTACAAAACTGCAGAAGAGCTTTTAATTGTTTTAACTCTCCACATGCCATCTCTTGGAGACCTTTAAAAAGGTGAAGCTGAAGTACCCTTTCCCTAGGGAAGGCATCAGGGAATTGTAGAATTGCCTGTGTTTCAAGTGGGTGGGTGGGTTGATGGGGTTTTAATGTAATGTCACTGTGAAATTCTGCTTGCCTTTTGCCATGGGGGTTTTCTTTTCTTTCAGTACTTCAACACTTTAGAGAACAGCCTCGTGAATCTCTTTGTCCTTCTGACCACTTCCAAGTAAGTCCATGCCTTTCCAGCTCAGTCTTTTTCTTTGTCCCCAAAGAAGCATAGCAGAGCCATGTGGAAATGTGTGGAAATGCTCTGTCTCCAATTGTGACCCTTTTCTTCTGCATAAGAGCTCCTGGTTCAGCCTGCAGGCATAGAAAGGGTTTTTAATTTTGGTTTAGGACACTGTGACCTCAGATGCTGAGTTACCTCTAAGCAGCTCAGACCACTTCATTACGGGGAGGGCAGAAAGGGTGTGGAAAAGCTTCATTCAGCCTTGGTCCAAAAAGGGAGAGTTTCTGTTTGTGCTCCTTTGTCAGCCAACAGTTTGTTGGTGTGAAGTAACTTCCTACTGCTCTGTTCACCTGTCTGCTGGGAAAGGGGAATGACCACAGTGGGTAGATCCTGATCAGCTGCCAGGGAGAGCTCTGAGGATTGGAAATTAGCAAAGGATGGAGTAAACCTCAGCTTGTAACACTTAGACCAATTGCTGTCCTATCAAAGCATGACCCTCAGCCACATTACAAATCCCCTCTGCCCGTTTGGTTTTTGGGATGTGCAGGGAATGTGCTTTGGATACTTGTTTTTGATGCCAAGCCTGCATGTTGTTGCTGCTGGTTACTCAGCACAGACTTGTGTGTCATGAGCAACCACAGGTTTTGCAGAGCTGTGCATCTCTTTGGGTGAGAGTTGACACACAAACCTGTGTCCTGTGCCCTCCTGCCTTTGTGTAGTGGGAAGTGTAGCTTGAGTTATTGGGTGTTTAAACTTTGGGTCTCTTTTGGATGCAGTTTTCCTGATGTGATGATGCCATCTTATGCCCGAAACCCCTGGTCCTGTGTCTTCTTCATAGTGTATCTCTCCATCGAGCTGTATTTCATCATGAACTTGGTAAGTCTCCTGCCAGCACTTGTCATTGCCCAGCAGCTTCCTCCCCATTCCCAAGAGTTCTCTGGAATAATGTGAGACCCTTTGGCAGAATATGTCTAAAAATGGCAGCTCTGCTGCACGTAGGAGTCTTTTAATGTTTAACCACAAGGAGTTGAACTAAATCACAGCAACCAGAATGACATGAGTATCCTTCAACTTCTCCCACATTAATACCATGCTTGGAGTGACATACTCAGTTGCCTGAGATTTATTGTCCTTTCCTGTCTTAATTATTTATCATAAAATGGCATTTTATTATCTGGGCTTGCCTGAAATACTTTGTAAATCAGTTTAAAGAGGCTGGAATTACTAATTATGACAGGACTTGAAGAGTGCCGGTGACTGCAGTGTGAGAGCATGGCTGCTGTTCTGGCTCTGCTTCTTGCAGCATCTAGGGCAGGGTGTGGATGTGAGCAGTGGAAAAGGGGTTGTCAAAGGAGTTGAGGAATTCTGTAACCCAGGCTGAGTCATTGGATGCTTGTACTGGGCTTGGATTTCACTGCTACTGTCCTAGATGGAGGGTTAGTTTTGACATGTGTCTGCCAAAGCTCCCTGGAAGGGTGAGTCCAGAAAGCAGTCCTCAAAACCCACTTTCCAGGAAGAGATCAAGGCATTGTAAGAAACCTTTTGATGCCATTTTCTTTTGGCATTTGTGGGGTTTATCCTTAGATCTTAAAACCACTCACGAGTGTTAGGAGGCCAGAAACATCTGGACCTCTTCCAAAAGGCAGATCGGTATGTGTGCAGTGGGCTTGGTGACCCTTTTGTGGGACTCTTCATGGCCAGCAGGCATTCTGCCTGCTCAGTAAATTCCTCCTGCAGGCAATGCCTGTCCTTGCGTCTGGATGATCCTGCCTGCTCGAGAAGCACTGGCTCAGGTGGCTTCAGAGTGTAAGGAAGATGATCCAAGGGCTGGACTATTTCTTCTATGAGGACAGGCTGGGAGAGTTGGGGTGTTCAGCCTGGAGAAGAGAAGGCTCCAGGGAGACCTTAGAGCATCTTCCAGTGCCTGGAGGGGCTCCAGGAAAGCTGGGGAGGGGCTTGGGACAAGGGCAGGTAGGGATGGGATGAGGGGAAATGGATTAAAACTGGAAGAGGGGAGATTTAGGTGAGACATGAGGAGGAAATTCTTTGGTGTGAGGGTGGTGAGAGCCTGGCCCAGGTTGCCCAGGGAAGCTGTGGCTGCCCCATCCCTGGCAGTGTTGAAGGGCAGGTTGGATGGGGCTTGGAGCAGCCTGGGCTGGTGGGAGGTGTCCCTGCCCATGCAGGGGGGTGAGACTGGGTGATCTTGAAGGTCCCTTCCAACTCAAACCATTCCATGTGCTCTCTCCTGCCTTCTCTCTGCAGCTTCTCGCTGTCGTGTTTGACACTTTCAACGACATTGAGAAGAGGAAGTTCAAGTCCTTGCTGCTGCACAAGCGCACGGCCATCCAGCACGCCTACCACCTGCTGGTCACCAAGCAGGTACAGGCCCCTGGCTGGGAAGGAGGGGCCATCAGCCACGTTGTGACAACACCAGTGGTCTGGAGTGCTTAAAGAGCAGGTTCCAGAAAAGATGGTTTGTGTCTGTCGGCTGTAATCATAGCCCTAAGGGCTACTGGTTTGTTTTTTCATTTGTGGAACTCATTTCTGGAGAAAACCCCAAGCAGTCTGAATTTCAGCCCCTCCTGAGGTTGTGGAAGTGTCTTGATAAAATGAGTGGAGTTTGTTTTGGAGAACATGCAAGCATTGGTTTCTCTCTGATTCAGTGTGGGTCACTTGAGAACCTGCTTCTCAAGCACCAGTACTTAGAGGAGGAGTGGGTTGTCCATGGGAAGGTTCAGTGCAGCAGCTACAAGCTGCATGAGTCAGTGGTGCAGAAACAGAAGTAATTCACCTCTTTATGGGGACAGGGCACTTGGGGAGTGGGTTGGTTTCTTGCTTGACTTGTGAAGCAGAGAGAGAAACGGGGCCCAAAAATAACTAACCCACTTCTAGTAGATGAGTTGATGTTTAGGGCATGTTCATTACAGCTCCTGAGGAAGAGCTGGTAATCTTTACAAAGTGCCAGTAATGGGATCTGTTAGGCCGTCTGCTAATTTCCCAAGAAGGGTGGTTGAACTCTGTTGCTCGGGGTGCCTGGTTGGGCAATTTTCCCGTGTAGGGCAGGAGGGAACAGCTCTGCATTTGCTGGAGGGCCTGGCTGCCAGGAGAGCTTCCTGATCTCCGTGCTCTGGGAGAAGCTCCGCACGTTACAGTAAATAGCTCAGGGAGCTTCTGGGGCTTGGTTGGAATGGCATTTCATCATCATGTGGGAATCCTGCTTAAAACCAATCCAGAGGATGAAATACTCCAGGCTGTATGTGCTTCTGCCTGATGTCCCTGCTTATGCCAACGTTCCCTTGTTCCTAGAGGCCATCTGGAATTTCCTTCAAGCACTTGGAAGGGCTGCTGCGGTTCTACCGGCCTCGGATGGGTGCCAGGGAGCACTATCTCACTTTCAAAGCACTGAATCAAAGCAATACTCCTTTGCTCAGGTAGGAGGGTCTTCCTGCTGCCCCCAGAGCAGGGAGGTTGCTTTGCTCTCTGAAGCTAAGCTGTGCTTCAGTGAGGATGGTTGGGCTGATGGCAGGAAAGCGCCGCTGGGATGTGGGAATGGAGTTACGTGGTTGGAAAGGCAACCTCTGGGAAGCAGGGAGTGGGAGAAGTGGGTACCCTGGGAGCTGAGGTTTTTCTGTGGAGGTGCTGGGAGTTCCTGCGTGCCCTCTTGTGGATACAGAGCTCTGCTGGCAGGCACCAGGCAGCCTCAGCTTGTCACCTCTCCTGCCAGAAAAGAGGAGCCAGGAACTGAGGAGCAGCACTGGAGCCTGCAAGGAGCTTTTCTTCTCACACTGCAGCCTTGCAGCTTGAACAAGTTTTTTGTTGGTTTTTTCCCAGCAGCTGGCTCTGTCCCCCAGGGTTTTGTTAATTAAAATCTGGTACCTTCAGGACTGTCATCCTCTGTGTTATGAGGCAGAGAATTACCATTCTGGTGGGTGGGTGCAGCTGACTCCAGCCAGCTTGGAATTAGAGGGAATTAGAGCAGGAGACCTTCTCTTCCTTTTCCTTTGTTCTGGCCACAGACAGGCTCAGAGTGAATCTCCTATGAAACTAGTGCTGATGCTTCTCCTTAAAGTCAAAGGCCACAGAGAAATATTGAAAATGGCATAGGGACAAAAACTGAGTTCTTAAGTTTAGGCACTTAGTGACAGCAGTAAGAGTCTGAGAAGTTCATCATCTTCACTTTCAGACACCTGGAAGCTGTTAGAGGCCTGAACCCTGAGCACCTAGACAGGCACTCATGTATTACGAGTTCCTTTGCTTTCATGTCCTTTGTCAAATTTCATTATTACCTTGAAAAGAAAATGTGCACAGTTGTTAGAAAAGGACTGTGCAAGTAATTAAGACAGTCCAAAGCTACTTCATGAAGGGCAGTACAATCTCTGTCCCTTGGACTTTGCTATCTAAGTCTGAAGTTTTTCCTCTCAGTGGTAAAATTCTGGAGTTCAGCAGAGTTGGAAGTTCCTCTGAGGGCTTCAGCTCTACAGAAGGTCCTGGCTATTGTCAGTCAAGTCACCTTCAGCCAGACTGGAGAGGTCACTGTTGAGTTCTATCAGCTTGTGGTTGCAGTTCTAATAAGGAGTTAACCACTTCCAGGGACTCTCTACTGATGATGCCTGACAAGGACAATTGAGGATCTAATCAGCTCCAAGGCTCTGATCAGATCCTTCCTTCTGTTTTTCAGTCTAAAGGATTTTTACAATTTCTATGAAGTTGTTGGCTTGAAATGGAAGGTAAGTGTTTGGTGGGGGGAGAAGAGGGAAAGTGTAGGGGGGGGGGAGAGCAAGGGAGGCCAGTGGTTGAAGAGAAGGTGGGGAAGAAGCAAAAGCAATCCCAAATGAAGCAGATGATGGGGATGAGGTGTTCACCATCACTGCACATTTTTGGAAGTGAATATTTCTGATCGTGGCTGTTTTGCTTCCAGGCAAAGCGGAATCGTGAGCACTGGTTTGATGACCTTCCACGGACAGCATTCCTTATTTTTAAAGGTAACAGCCTGTGTTTTCAGGACAGCATGTGTTCAGCTACCAGGAAAAGCATCTCTTTACAAAGACAGGATCCTCTGAAGAGACATTCTCTTATATCTCTGGTAAACAGCTAAGAGAAGGTCTCCTGTTCAAAGCCTCCAAGGCCAGAGCCTTGTATTCAGAGTCTCCAAGGAAGATTTCTGTCATGTAAATATTCCCTGTGCCCTCACCCAAGCCCTGGCTTCCTTAAAATAAGAGACTACTTAGAATCATAGAATGGTTTGGCTTGGAAGGGACCTTAAAGATCATCTAGAAGTCACCTACAGTTCTTTTTCAGTGTTGTGTGCTAGTGGGGTACAGTTGAGACCACCTTGATCCAAACATGCAGCTGCCATGGGAGTCCTGCAGATCTCTGCTCATGCCCTCGGCCCTCCTTGACAGCACATTTGTTGTTCCAAACATAGACAGTGTTTCAGCAGCTGCATTTACCTCTGTCCGCACCATAGAATTAATACATAGGGGGGAAAAAAGTCATCTTGGGGGTTAACTGTAGTAACTTCATTGCTGCGCAAATTCTAGAGGGGATTTTAAAACTTGGTGCCAAGAAGTAAAAGTTAATAATCTGCTAATCTCTTTAGCTTCTATGTTGAGGATTAGTGTGAAAAAATGTCTCTAAGGGAGAAGGTACAGAATTCTGTAAGGTATGGAGGAAGGCAACAGTTATTTTGTCATACTTTCCTTCCTGCAGGCATCAACATCCTTGTGAAGTCCCGTGCGTTCCAGTACACCATGTGTAAGTAGCAGTGAGGAGCTGTCTCTGCTTGGCTCCTGTAGCTTTGGTCTGGGCTGTGGCTCCTGGACACATCTTGGGAGCTTTGGCAGAGAGAGATTGAACTGCACACTCGTATCAACCAGTGCTGCAGCCTGGGTTCTTGGCTCTTGCTGTCTTCTGGAGAGGCTCCTGGGTCATCACCTACCTGTGGGTCTGGCTCTGTAGGGGTTAGCTGGGTAGGATGGTGATCAGCCTTCACAGGCCTTGAGGTTCTTGTCTTGCAGCTGAAGGATACTGGGTAAGGAACTGCCTTGCCACCTTCTGTTTGCACTTGAGAAGGTGCAAGCATCCTCCTTGCTGGAGGGATTGGTTGGCAGCTGTACTGTCTGTGAGGCTGATTCTGTGCTCCTCCAGAGGAGGAGTGCTTGCTCGTGGTGCTACTTGCTGTGTTCTAAATGGTCTGTTCCTACCCAGTAGTTTGGAGGTTTGAATGTTGGAGAAGTTATTTGTCAATTGTGATGCTAAACTCAAGAGGGTGGGGTGAGGAGATCTGAGTGAAAACTGCACCTTCAGTTCTCAGGATCAGGATACTGGGGAGCAGTGATAGATCCAAGCCAGCAGGGCCTTGTCCTGCACTGTGAGGACCCAGTGCTTCTTGAGATCTTGTTCCAGAACCAGGAGGAAGCTGAAATATGCAGGTGGTAACATGGCAGAAGGTAAGATCTGTATGAATAAAAACAATTGAGTGTGATTCAAACCATAGATTTGTTTTAGCTTTGTTTCCTTCTGAAGAGAAAGAAACTGTTGAAGGTTTGGGAAAAGTCAGGGTAGAAGGCTCTCCCAAGTTAAGAGATCTCTGCTCATGCCCTCGGCCCTCCTTGACAGCACATTTGTTGTTCCAAACATAGACAGTGTTTCAGCAGCTGCATTTACCTCTGTCCGCACCATAGAATTAATACATAGGGGGAAAAAAGTCATCTTGGGGGTTAACTGTAGTAACTTCATTGCTGCGCAAATTCTAGAGGGGATTTTAAAACTTGGTGCCAAGAAGTAAAAGTTAATAATCTGCTAATCTCTTTAGCTTCTATGTTGAGGATTAGTGTGAAAAAATGTCTCTAAGGGAGAAGGTACAGAATTCTGTAAGGTATGGAGGAAGGCAACAGTTATTTTGTCATACTTTCCTTCCTGCAGGCATCAACATCCTTGTGAAGTCCCGTGCGTTCCAGTACACCATGTGTAAGTAGCAGTGAGGAGCTGTCTCTGCTTGGCTCCTGTAGCTTTGGTCTGGGCTGTGGCTCCTGGACACATCTTGGGAGCTTTGGCAGAGAGAGAGGGAACTGCACACTCGTATCAACCAGTGCTGCAGCCTGGGTTCTTGGCTCTTGCTGTCTTCTGGAGAGGCTCCTGGGTCATCACCTACCTGTGGGTCTGGCTCTGTAGGGGTTAGCTGGGTAGGATGGTGATCAGCCTTCACAGGCCTTGAGGTTCTTGTCTTGCAGCTGAAGGATACTGGGTAAGGAACTGCCTTGCCACCTTCTGTTTGCACTTGAGAAGGTGCAAGCATCCTCCTTGCTGGAGGGATTGGTTGGCAGCTGTACTGTCTGTGAGGCTGATTCTGTGCTCCTCCAGAGGAGGAGTGCTTGCTCGTGGTGCTACTTGCTGTGTTCTAAATGGTCTGTTCCTACCCAGTAGTTTGGAGGTTTGAATGTTGGAGAAGTTATTTGTCAATTGTGATGCTAAACTCAAGAGGGTGGGGTGAGGAGATCTGAGTGAAAACTGCACCTTCAGTTCTCAGGATCAGGATACTGGGGAGCAGTGATAGATCCAAGCCAGCAGGGCCTTGTCCTGCACTGTGAGGACCCAGTGCTTCTTGAGATCTTGTTCCAGAACCAGGAGGAAGCTGAAATATGCAGGTGGTAACATGGCAGAAGGTAAGATCTGTATGAATAAAAACAATTGAGTGTGATTCAAACCATAGATTTGTTTTAGCTTTGTTTCCTTCTGAAGAGAAAGAAACTGTTGAAGGTTTGGGAAAAGTCAGGGTAGAAGGCTCTCCCAAGTTAAGAGTTCAATTTGTTCTTTGGATTGGAAATGGTGACCCTGCCACTTGTTCTGTATTGTACTCTTTGTCAGCCTAGGAAATGGAAGTCCTTTGGTCCAAGAGTGGGTTTGCTATGGGTTTTTACTTTGTTTTTCAGATACTGTGGTGGCTGTGAATGGAATTTGGATTCTTGTTGAAACCTTCATGCTGCAAGGTAGGAAACACCACAGCTTGCTTCTTGGCTGTGATGCTGGGAGATTGAAAAAAGGTAAAGCTAGAAAAAGTTCTCCTTGTATCTTGCAGGAGGGAATTTCTTCTCCAGAAATGTCCCGTGGAGCTACATAGTCTTCCTCACAAGTAAGCTGATCCTTCCCAACAGAGCTGTCTCATTTCATAAGGAGCTGGGAGGATAACAGACAACTCTAATCCCAGAAGATGATTCAGTTTGAAGTTAAAACTTGGCCCCAGGTGTACAGACTCCATCTAGAGCAATGCTGTGCCTGGCAGGGGTGGGCAGCAGCCACCCAGCCCCACGTGAGCCCTGCTGCACCATTGCATGGCCCTGCCCTCTGGGGAGCCTCTTGCCTCTGGTGCCACCCTGCAGAAGCTGCTGCATTACTCTTGGAGGTGGCTTCAGCCCTGAGAGCAGAACAGCCTTGTTTGTCAGGCACAGTGTGCAAGGTGAGAAGCTCCTCCAGGCCTGGTGTTGGCTCTGTGAGGAGCTGCTCACGTTGCTCTGTGCTGGCTGTTCCAGGAGGCAGGAGCAGCTCTGGTCTGGTGACAGCTGTAAGCTGGCTCTCTGCCACACAAAGCAGGACAGTCCTGTGGGAGGGCAGAGTGCAGGGACATGCTGAGGAGGAGACTGGAAGGACTGGAGGATCTGGTTGACAAGTTGAGTTTCCTAATTGCACATCAACATGCACCTTAGTCTTCCTTTTCAGCCCATGTATCTTCACGTGCTGGTTCCCTGCTCTTCCATGATGTGAATTCACTTCCCTTCTTCTGCCAGTGTCTTTTGCTCAAGGGGAAGCAAATAGTAGCTCCATGGAATCAAAATAGTGTGGAAAACTGCAGCAGGAGGTTCTTGGAAGAATCTAGGAGAAATTGGTAGCTTCTTCTGTGACTGCTAAGTAGTTCTAGTGCTTCCCTGGCCATTAGTCTTCAAAACACTTGTTATAAAAGTTTGAAGGCAGAGGAATTCCTCAACTCTTCTTTCCACAAGGATATTGTCAGCCAGCTCTCTGCTTCACTCCCCCCTCTGTCCTTGGAACCTGGAAGGCAAGATTTCTGTGTGATAAACAGGGAATCACCATGATAACCATGGCTCTTTCAGGGAAATTTGCTTCATCCTGGCTCAAACCAGGACAAACCTACAGGCCCACAAGGTGGAAGTGGATGATTTTCTTTGGAAGGATCTTTTCCCTGCAGGTCAAGGCCAGATGATGGGATGTGGATTTGTTCCACTGAGATAGGAGGAGATAACCAGGCAGA